GAGGGAGGGAGGGAGGGAGGGAGGGAGGGAGGGAGGGAGGGAGGGAGAGAGGGAGGGAGGGAGAGGCTAATTCCCCCTTTGGGGGAGCTTTCTGACAGGTTGAATTTGCGAAACTTCTACATATCTTTCTATTGTCTTTTATAATGTATGTATATTAGAACATCATCGGACTACCTCTTGTATCCTCCACACTGATCTCAGTCACAATCTTCTCCAGCAGCACCCCTCCATACTCTCCTATGCTGCCTTTTCATTGCATTAGGACTAGTCTTAGGCATCATGAAGAGCCCGAAACTGTTGAGACCTCATTTGGATGTATTATTGAAGGAACTCAGGAACATGAGATTGGCAACTAATTTTTTATTAGAAAGCTTGAAGGCTTTAAAGTTTGACAACCTATAACTTTGGAAAAGGTATTACTTCTATGGTATATAAATCATACAACTAAGGAGAGAATCTCAAAACAATTACTGTCTTATCCCAGTATGGCTTCATAGGTATCAACACTTTATTCTCTGTGATGGCTTGAATATGAAATGCTATCTAGAGGCTTATGTATCAAGGGCCTGCTCATCAGATGATGAGGCTGGGAAGTGATTAGATCAGACGCATACTTAAGGTATTAACCACCTGATGAATTCATTACATGAGGGCGTTTGAGGAAGGGGTTGAAAATTTCAGGCTCTCTTAAAGTTGCCCTCGGGGAGTATGCCTGTGAAGGTTTCTCATGGTCCAGTCTACATCTCAGCTTCCTGTTTGCCAAAAAAGGGATTGTCTCTGATGCTCTCTCTCACCACAAGTCAGAGCCCACAGAGCCATGGGCTCCTGCAGGGACCCTTTGAAATTAACTGGCTAAAACAAACCTTTCCTCTTTATGCCAGGCATTTGTGTCACATGATGGAAAGCTTCACTACCACTATGTCTTACAAAACTCACACCCTCCTAACAATTTTAAGGGGCTTTATTTTCTCAAATTGTATTCAGTTATAATTTGAAGAAATTTATAGACATAGTGGCAATACTTCATACATGAAAGAAGAGGCTCCATTCACTACTTATATGACCTCTTTTTTTAAAATACAAATTATGATACTACCTTTCTAGGGCCTTCACCTGGGTGCACAGTCTTTGAAACGTCTCAGATCATACATAACACACAGTGTTACAAAAATACTAGTCATTTTGAATAGGCTTTGACTTGTGCTTAAAATTTCTATATGAGTCAGTTTTTATTCCTTGGATGTGAAATTAATCAATAACTCTTCCTTTAAAATAAATATGCATATACATTACATGGCTTATGGAATCACATTTGATTTCTTTGTTTTACATTTGTATGTATGAATTATAGTATGCATGTGAATATGTATATATTCTTGCTTGTATGTGCATGTGAATATGTACGTGTGCTTGCATATATGTCAACATGTGTGTGTATGTATGTATGTATGTATGTGTTATAGTGTGCCTGTGAATAGGTATGTGTGCTTGCATGTCTGTGGACATGTGTGTGTGTGTGTGTGTGTGTATGTGCAAGCACGTGCACACTCAGGTTATACAAATGGAGCCCAGAGCACCATGTCACCATGTTTATGTTTTCCTGCATCCTTCTCCACCTTATTTAATAAGGAAGGTCTCTTATCTACCTATCCAGCTTTTCCAAGATTTCCTCCATCTTTCCATATCCCAGATGTGGATACTGCAGGCAAACAGCCACATCCACTTGCCATTTGCATGAGTGCTGGGTATGTGCACCAGGCCCTCATTCCTAAGTATTCTACCCATCCTCCCAGTCTCCTGTATGCTTGTTTGTTTGTCTTTCCACTCAACCCATTTTCACAACTTCCCATGCATGCAAGTACATTTACAATTATGCAGCATACACGAACACACACACACACACACACACACACACACTTGCTATGCCATGAGTTTTGAATGTACATTACTTAGGGTGGATGCCAGGGTGATCACCTGCCAGTTGCAGAGCTATGAATTTTTCTCAAATAGAAAATCCCCATAAACATGTCATTTCAGAGATGTTGGAGGCTCAGAGAAACTATTTATACAGTTCAAGGGCATGTCCTCCATTGCTGAGGCTAGGGAAAGTGGACAGCAGAATAAATTCTTCTTCTTTCTTTCCGTGTTATATTAAGGATATATATCTGCTTTAATCGCATTGCTTTTGAATGTAAGAACACTGACATCATCAAATTGGTTACCATCAGCAGAAAAGATAAGAGAAAAACTATAAAATGCTAATGTGTTGGTAATAGTACAAAACTAGAAACCAAAATAATGAAACATTAGTGAACATTGAAGACTCGAATCAACTTGTGGAATGCTATATAGTCATGAGAAGGGCTTAGCTCTGTCTGTACGGATCAGCATCTAAAGAGGTCCTAATTGACTCATAAGAGCTGATGAAAAGCTATGCATGTCATAATGGTATTTATGTTAGGAATATGTAGATCACATTGTGAACACTGTACACACAGAACTATGTGTCTATGTATGTCTATGACTGAAATGCAAACTGAATTATAGGCAATAGTTTGAAACAGTGGCTTCCCCTAAAAGGAGGAGCAAGCCAGGCTGGCAAGAATACTTGCCAAAACATTTTTCACTTTGTTTCCTCCCTGGTTATTTTCTGCCTTAAAATAAGTCTATGTTTCATGTATAATTAAAACTTTAAAAATAGAAATTTCATACATATTCCTGTTGTGTGTAATAAAATTACATTATTTTTAAAACTTATAAACCAAAGAGAAGTATCTTTTGGTCTTGCTATTCAACATAGCATAGCCATTTGGGTAGAATTACTGACATCAGCTGAAATCACAGTGTACATGAATTTCATTACTCAGGAGTTTTTCTCATAATCCTAGTTACCTTTATACTGCTCAATTTCATGGATGTAATTATTCTATTGTATTCTTACACTTTAACTTGCTGGACCACTTCTATTTACATATGTATTGAATACATATGCATATGAGTAGTGTGTGTTACGTGTACACATGTTGGGAAGCCTGTACAGAAAGTTGGATATCCTGGTTTACAGTGCCATGGCTTTCTCCTATCTGAGGCAGGGTGGCTCACTGAAGCTACAGTTAAGCTAACAGCCAGCTAGCTGGAGTGCTCCCTCTGCCCCCACCTTGCACGGAGTTGTCCTTACAAGCAAGTGTCTAGTTACACCTGGATTGTATGTGTGTGCTGGAATCTGGACTCAGCTGTTTCCTGCTGCATCATCTTTCTTGTGAATTAAAATAAAAACAGAAATCTCCCTTCTTATTCCTTACTAGATCTTTATATTGAGAAGGAGAAATGGGTCAAACTGTGAGAACAAATTTAATAACTCTTCATATAAACCTGAAGCACATTTTTCTGGTGATGGTGGGACTCAAACCCAGAGTCTCCTTCATGCTCAGCAGGTATCCTTCAGCTGAGCTTCATCCACAGCTGCAGGTCAGTTCTTTGTAATGATAAATTCTGGGAACTATGGTAACCACAGAAATTCTTTATCCTACAAGAGTCTGCAGAACACACCCAGGGCCTCACCTGGCCCCATGGCCTGCAGGGATACCTGCATCAGAGAGAATGGTCCTCTCTGCAGCCACTCTCCCATGGGGCTCAGCCATCAGCTTCCTCAGAAGACTTTAATATCCAAGAAGTCTGAAAGCCAGAACTAAATTCTGTAACTGCACTTCCACAAGTGACAAATTATTAAGGATATATGGATTTAAAAATAACAAAATTTTTAGTCTTTCCTTAATTTGCTAGCATTACAAGAAGTTAAATCACGCAAATCATGATTGGTGTCAGTCCTGGGGGGTGGGGATTACTCTAGAGAGATGGGATGGCTGAATTTGAAAACTATATGTGCTTTGCTGTGAAAATCATCTCTGAAGTAGTTCATTGTAGCCGGTCAGCAATGAAACAGTAGCCATGGAGGGCCAATGTGGCATATGGCACACATGAGCTCACAGCAGATGGGTTTACAAGCCCAAGACCTGCACTTTTTTTTTTAAAATAATTCCAGCATAGATTGGTGGGAGGCTTCTTAGGCCCTACCCCTGGCTAAGCTGTTGGCAATCTGTGGCTACTGAGCCTGGAAAATCAGGGCCACTTTTCTTTAAGAATTTGACCACCCCAATGGGTTCTTCAAGACCACAGTGGATCATCCCATACAATACTAACTGGAATTAGTGGGTTAAAACAAACAAACAACAAACAAACAAACAAACAGACAGACAGACATAAAGTTGGTGGGAGATATGATGGAGACTCCTTGGGAGAACTGGAAGGGGGATTTGGGATGCATATGAGAAAGAGAAAAATGTATACATGTATAACATTTTCAAAGAAGAAAACAAAAAAGAAACAGGTTCCCTGATTAAAGAATGAACATTGTGTCCCGACAGGCAGAGAAGAATTCCTGTGAAAGGGAGATATGTACTTACCATTGGTGTAGGGGTTGACAGTCTTTTTATTAGTCATCACACGTGCTGTTGCGTTATTAACCTATACACATAGAAAACTCAAGTGAGTTTAGACGATGAGGCCAGCCCATAATCCAATTAGTTGCATGCATTATGACTGTCATTACTTATTGAAATCAAACAACAACACCAAAAAAAACCCCAAAAACTTAAAACAAAAACTAAAATGCATTTTAATTTACAAATGGCAATAGATGCACAACCCCCCAGATCATACACTTTTATAATTACATTTACTTCATAACCAATTTAACTTACAAATCATTTCAATAAAGCGATGTCATCTCATTTAAAAGTTTAATAAAGAGACAGTAAAAGCAAATTAAAAGATACTGCATAATTGAAGATTTAAAAGCATGCGTGTGCTCCATGGTAACACAGAAACAAGAAATAGGTTTTTAAACAAAAGAAATCGAGTTAATATGGAAGGGGCATGCAGTGGAAAAGAGGGAGGAGACAGAGTACAGGGGACATAAATGTCAAGGAAAGGGACAGACAAGTTTAAGCCATGTGCAACACTTCCGGGAGGGGGAACCATTGGGAAGCAACATCTAGCATTCAACACTTGGAACAAGAGCCTTTTACATTGCAAGAATTAACGAGTCATTCAAGCTTTAAGGTCACAGCTAACAAACGGGTAAAGGAGAGGGTGCATTGTGTAACACAATATGGAGTTAAGGGTCTGAGTAAGATGTGCACTGCTCGTAACTCAGTCCAGTCAGAGCCTCCCAGGCTAGCTTAGAACGTACACTCAATTACAGGCGTACCAAAGACCCAAAAAAATGGAGCATCAAGAAAACTTAATACAACAAGTCAAAAAAATTCACGTGGTAGAGAGATATGTATAGAGATATATCAGCACTAAATACGTGAAGCGGCAGATGGACTCGTCACTTACCATTCACCACCATCGCCAGCATGGGTTTGTATACAGTTACCATGGTTACTGAGAGTTTGGTGAGGGGCCTAAGCGTTACCGTCGAGGGGGGAAATAAAAAGGCAAAATATGCGACATCTTACTCCAAAGACTAAAGCATTTTTAACTGGTAATTTTTTTGTTTGTTTTTAAGTTTTAACAGATATGACCCTTTGATTGCGTTGAAGAGGAACCCAGTGGTATAACGGGCAGGCGCTGGATGTCAGAATGTGGGGTCTGCATTGCCAATCAACAGAGGCAATGTATTGAGATGAGAAATCCCGATTGCTTATTCAATGTCTAATCGGAAGAACGCAAGAATTCAAGCTGGCTTTTGTTTTCAAGTGAAACATTTAATGACAAGTGCCTCTCTTTTTTTTTTTCTTCTTCTTCTCTGTTTTAGAATTTTGAATTTATTGTCTTTGAAATTTGGTCTAATTTGCAAACCACTGTGGATCCCTCTTCAACCCTAAAGTGGACTGAAAAAGAAACAAAATAAAACAAAGCTTGCTATATTTGGTTTGGTTTGAATACTGTGTCCTCTTTGGATCCTATGGCACCCGTTGTTCATAAACCATTGAAAAGAAACTAAAACAAACAAACAGAACCTTTCCTATTAACCTTCCTGTCATCTCAGTTTTGCCATCTACTCTCAAGCAGTCCTATAAAGAATAACATAAAGTAAAATTTAACAAAAAAGTAAGGCCAGTTTTCCTTTTTATATATAAATATATATAAATATATAAATATATATAAACAATGAGAAGGGAATAGGGTCACACACGAGACACCAATGATGCACCTGGAAGGACGAATGAGCGTGAAGCAGACATTTATAAAAAAAGAGGAAAAGGAAAAATATTTTGGACATGCACCTCGATTTTACGGCCCTCTACCACGGTACCGTGCAATTTCTCCCTCGCCCTGTCCGCATCCGCACTATTTTCGAAAGTTACGAAACCAAATCCCTGCATGCAGGAGGGAGAAGGAGAACAACATGCATATTATTATTTCAGTCAACGACCACTTGGTAAAGTTCTCTCGCTTTCATTGCTATTTCTTGTCCTGGCTTCGGTTCTGTAACATGCAAATTAGAGAAATTATAAGAACACTAAGATGTGCAGTCATTAAGCACCAAATGTGAACGAGATTTTTTTCCTGTCACCCGTTAGCTGGAACCCCTAAAGAATTCAAAGATGGATATGGAAACAAAAAACCAAACCGACAAACAAAAAATGCCTTTCTAAACATCACTACAGAAGAAAAGAAACCAACCAAAAGAAAAATGAAATCAAAATAAGTGTACAGTCTCCACAGAGAAGAAACGAAAGAACGAGAAAAAAGAAAGGGAACCAGGTTCTTGACATGCAAATTAAAAATAAAACAGAATAAAATGTGTGCACAGAATTCAACAGTGAATGCTCAAGTCCTGTCACATTGCCTACGGAGTCATGCTGCGTGGATTTAAGAACAGGTCTTCTTCATGCAGTTTTAGGGTTATTCAAGTCTGTCAACTGTACAGCCTTTGCTTCTCAAAAATAAAAGGAACAAGCCTAAAAAAAGGAAAGACCTTTTTTTTTTTAATAACAAATCTTGATCTTGTGGTTCTAATAAACAAAAACATAAATCACATGAAATGAATACAAATAAACTTTTGTTGGTTAATAATGTAGATAAGCAAGTTCCATTCTACATATGTACTTTGCCCCTCCACCCCCTCCCTCAAATATTAAAAGACATTGGAATTTGACATTTTACATTAGTTTATTAACAAGAAAACAATGTTATATGGTACTAGGCTGATAGTCATTTGCAATATCAACAATTAGAAAAGTAAAGAGAGTTCCCAGATTGGGCGAATGTTTGCAGCACACTGAGACCTTCTTTGACTAATAAATAGCAAGGACACCCTTTGCTTCACAAGTATAGTCTTCGCTTTTAATATTTCAGCATCTATCACAAGCCCTATTCATCTATGTTGTCAAAATCTACATTTTTCTTCACTGACATGGTTCTTATGATGAGTATAGAAATCTGACTTACTAGTACTTCTAAAACTCTTAAGCCTCTTTGTACATATTGTTTAGAAATATATACACCAACCTTTTGAATAGTGTGGGTACCCTGGGGTAAGTTGGGAGTAATATTTCACTGTGTGGTGGGGATTGTCAATTTGCACAGAAGAAGCCTCATGCACAGTCAAGACAGCTGCTTCATCCTCATGGATGACATTCAACTTTACAAACATAAAACGTTCAATAATCATACATGTAGAGTAGTAACAGCCATCCTAGAGTTGGCTCTAACGATGACCTCATAACTGAAGGATATTGGAGAAGGGTTTCTGGGTGCACTAGCTAGAAGACACTAAAACTGGGCTTGTCTGTGGAAAGTTTTGAGCTGTGCATGTGTTGAGGTGCTGGGAGATGGATATTTGTCAATAGAAGACACAGTAAAAGATTAGATGTAGTTACTTTGACTGAATGACTTCACGTTGCTTTTCCTGGAGTGAGGATTCATAAATAGGTCATGCCTGAGTGATCCAATTAATATATAGTGACATGCCCCATAAAAACTTTGCACATGCTGCCTACATAATCTGGGTGATCAAAAATATTTGCTAATAGTATTCTAGCTTTGGTGAGAAAGGAATGATTACTTTTTTGATGGTAAAGAACAGAATTTGAGGGGACGAGCTGCTTCATTTGACAACTCTACCCTGGCTAGTGGTTCCAAAATTCAGCTGTTTATTAGAAAGGAACAGAAGCACGTTCACATTTTGATTCCTGAGCCTCATTTTGTATTTGCCACATCAGAAAACTCTAGCAGAGAACAGATGTTCTTTTGCCTCACAAGACTACTTACATGATTCCATGGTTGGATTTCCTTGATCTTTCTACTACATACCCACAGAAACAAAATTGTATGTGTTGGAATAAGTAAAATGTTATATCTCTGCTTTGAAAAACATCAGTAGAGAAGGGTGAGTTTATGACTCTAATTTTATGCATATATATAGGGGGCACAGTAAAAATCATATGCCAAAGATGTCTCAGACATGCCCTTTCCTTTCTTTATGCCTATGTCTACAACCCTCCAAGTCAGACACTTAAGAATAGGTAAGAGAAATAAGGGATCTGTAGCCTCTCTTCAAGCAAAGAAAGACAATCTATAGTTCCCACTTCACAGATGGAGGAAAGGGTGTCATCATTTCTATTGGGACCAGAATATTGTTGAATGACATGTTGAGACTTGTGAAGGGCAGGTTCAAAGCTGAGCTTGTCCTAGAGATCATCCCCCAAACATCCAGCAGCTTGGAAACGTCTACCTTCCATACAGAACAGGAATGTTACAGCTTCTTTGGGTCAGAAAATGATCAGAAGTCCCATGTGGAAACTGCCATCAGGAGTAGAGATATGTTCACCTGTCCTTCTCAGATGTCAGATGCTCTGTCGCTAAAGCCCTGGGCCCTAATGTCTGTGGAAGTGGGTGCTAAGGTATATGATGGTGTCTGTTGGCCTTCCTGGTGATCAAGATCACGTTTCAAGGAAACAGCACCTTGACATTCTTAAAAAGATGATTACTTTCGTCTCTGCCTTGGAGAGTAAAGCATCTTTAGATTGAAGAGGTTGTTGGTGGTGAAATGACGTAATGGTGTGGAACAGTGGAGCTTGGAAGAAGAGCTTACACCCATTCTAGCCACACAAAGTTGGGTACAGCAGTGCAAATACTAGGGAAGCTGGGGCAGGACAGTCACAAGTTCAAGGTCTGTCTAAGTGACTCAGTCAAAAAACAGAAATAAAAGGGACCTTGGGGGTTAGCTCAATGATAGAATGATCGTCTGACAAAGTTTGATTGCTAGCATGGCATAATTAAATAAGAATCTTAAAGGAAAGGAAAAAAGGAGGGGCTAGAAAGAGGGGGAGGGGCGAAGGATAAAAGAAATGAGGAAATGAGAGAAGGCAGAAAGGGGAAATAAGGAAAGAGGGAAGGAGGGAGAGAAAGAGGGAGGAAAGAAGGGAGGGAGGGAGAAAGAGGGATGAGAGTAGAGTTCAGATTATGGTCAGATCTCCTTCTCCTCAGAGACATACCATCTCAGATTATACTTGGACAGGCAGCCAGAGATGAGAGAAGAGGGTTTCCTGGAGGAGGGGTCTGTGCTGACAGACAAGCATGAAGAACAGGCCAGCTGACCCAAAGTGGAGCCCTAGAGCATGGCTTGCTGATCTCAATGCCTTTCAGTGAATCATAAGTTCTCACTCTCCTGTCCCTTCCTCCCTGCTTCTTTCTGATATCTTTCAGTGGTGGATTTCCTTTGGGGCCCTCAAATGGATACCCTGTATTGTATGCTAAAAAGAGGAATTCACACATTCTAATCAAAATGAACAGTCAAGCCCTTGAGTCTCCAATGCAGAGAGCACTCGTGGAGAACAGGTGAGGTGAGATGTCAAGAGGGTAACAGAAACCCATTGTCCTGACGGCCAAAGCCTCGCATTCACGTCTTTCCAGTGTCTTTTGCATATACAGCCTCTTGTCTTTGTGAGATACCATCTTCTTCCCTTTCTGTTTTCTTTTCTTCCTTCCCCCTTAGCTTAGTTCCTCCTCTCAAGAAGCCTCTCTACTTCCAACCACATACTTAGAGTCTCATCAGCCCCTCATGCCACAGCAGAGTGCAGCACATTTAATGGCAGCTGCTCATGACTGCTCTTTCCTAATGCTCAAGAAAAGCTGACAGCTAGAAGCATGTCTCCCTTCCTCAAGAATGATTCAACTAAAGGGGAACTGGTCCACAGATGTGTATACACTAAATCAAAGACCAAATTGCACATTTCTTAGGTATAATAGAGAATAACTAATTCTGACTTATTCTGGGAAACAAAGCATTTTGGGAGCAAAAGAATAAGTTTAGATCTCTTAAAATAATAATTGGATTGTGTTATTCATTACACCTGCATGTAGTCCAGTTCCTATGAGCAAGTCTGTCTGTCATTCCTTTTGAAGATTTTTTTTCCTATAGTTTCTACATATATGCCAACTCTTCAGGCTGTGTGTTTCTAAAACACCACAGATACTGCCTGTGGATGTGTATCCACACACATATAGAGTTACCCTCTCTTAGCTTTGAGTCATCTGCCTCAGGTAGTTCCCTACCTGAGAATAAAGGAGAATAAAGGACCAAGAGACTTTCTGGTCCTTTGGGGACACTGGTTTCCTTGCCAATAGAGGCAGCACCTGATGGAAGTGAGTTCTTAACAATGATTTATTTTCTTAAAGGCTAAGATGGAAATGCTTCTCTAAATAAGGCCCTTTCCAATAAAAGATGCCAAATGTAACAACTATCCATGTACAAGCTGTCATCCCAGGTAGAATTCCCAGTTGGACAGTCCCAGGGACATTCTAGGGACATGGCATCACCCAGGAAGAGAGTGAGGGCTCCCACCTGGAGAGACCAAAAGCCATTCTGGATGTTACCTAAGCTAAAGGAAAGAAAAACAAAATGGCCTGACAAAGTCCAAGCTTCAGATGCTGAAAATGGAAATGCTCTTTTCCCTAGAGCCTTCAGGGACAGGCTAATCAAAGAGATTATTGGAAAAGTCCTAAAAACAGCACTGCCTTGTACTTGGAAAATAGCCATCAGTGCTTTAGTGATATCCCCAAACATCTCTCGGAAAGGAATGGAATAGCTTTCTTCAACTGACAAAAATCTTACTAAACAAAATGTAATTTAAGAAGAAGTTCTAAACAAGCCACAGACAACAAGGAAGGAAAAAAAAAAGCCTATATGGCAATTATAAGATAAAGAGCTCAGAATCAGGACAGAGTTAGGACATATCGTATGTCATCTTCACTCATTTTGCCAGGAATCCACCAGGCCTGAGCCAGGTTTAGCCCTAACTATATCTTTCTCTTGATACACCTTGATCTCCAGGCATAAAAATACTCAATGGTTTTCAAACACAAACAGCTAACTTCTTCCCCTCACCACGGCTAAGAGGTCAGACAACAAGAATGGAAAATGGCTAAAGTCGACAAAGAAAGACCAGGTCCCTAAATGTGCAGAAGTATAGAATTTTAATGGAACGACTTTCCATTCATCTGAAAGATTATAGAACTATTTGTATGTGGAAAATCAAGTCCTCAAATTTTGTTTCATTAATTCAATCAACACTATACTACTCGGTCAATGTTAAATCTATTTAGGAGGAATTGAGCAGAGGGCAGATGCTGTAAGGGATAATAAATCATAAGGTTTGCTTCATAGTGTGATTATGGTAACATGTGACATACTACAAAACCAGTGATGCTTAGGGCCTACCTGGATGCCTACTTGTTCTGAGTTGCCCATAGAAGGGGCATTATTAAGCACAAGCAGTGTCTCTGCATCTGATAAAAATGGTCTCAACACCCACATTCAGAGGCTAAGGATGGAAGGAAGATGGGAGATTAAGGTTCCTTAAGATATGATTACTGTACACAGAATCTGAGCTACTCATGTCTGTGCTTTATCTGGATTCTATGACCACTCTCTCCATCCTCATCCAACTTCATAGACAATGTTGAAACTTCTTATGCAATTATTTCCTATGAGGAGTATTTGCACAAAGCATTTGAATCTTCTCATGGTACATAAAGATTTAAAAAGAGAGAGAGAAAGCTCTTATGGCATCAACAGAGAGAGTGATGAAATACTTGTGGGCAAAAGCTATTCTATATTCAGGTGAAAGCTTGGTCTTTGAGGAAAAAACAGACACTTGTGTTTGGCATTTTGAGGACAAGCTTGTGAGGTTTGCTAAGGTGTGGATTGCTGTGACCAGCTTCAGGGTTTCTGATGCAGTAGGTCTGGGCTGGAGATGCAGAGTTTGTATCTTTAATGAGCTCCTGAATGATGCTGATGCTGCACATTTGGAACCACACTTCTACAGCCATGGATAGAAAGCACACACTGAATGTGTAGGATGTTTACATTTCCTATGTAGGCACTGGAATTTTCTCAGAGCCTTCCATGAACAATTGTCAGCTCTAGAAAAAAGAGATTCGAAACACTGATTTCTTAGTAAGAAAATGAACTCGGACCAATACACAATACAAAGTGAGGATCGGTAAAACATACTAATGAACAAAAACTATGTTCAAAAGATTGGTGTATATAAAACTTTTCTCCTCTCCAACCCAGGAAAAGAACTGCACTTTATTAATACAGAGTAATCACATATTTACCTGCTCATGAGACTATCAACTCACTTTTTAATATAAAGAACATAATTATCACTGAAAAACAAAAAAATGTAGCAACATCATTATATTTTCTTAGGCATGGGTAATTTTCCTGTGGAAATTTAAGATATGTAATTATATCTTGATATATTCGAACCAGAAGGTAAAAACTAACCCCTACCCATTTTCAATGGAACCCAATGCATTTTTCAACATTTAGGGAATGGGAGGCGGTCTCTAAAGACGTTCCCACTAAAGTCCATTTCTCAAGTGCTGATTCAGGCAGTGCAGTTACTTCCCTTGTCCCTGACAGACATGTCACAACAAGCTAAGACATTCCAAACTGAATCAAGTTGCTTACCTTCGAGCCTCGCTCATTAAAAATAATTTCAACATCTAATATTTTACCAAATTGCTGCAAAGAAACAGAAATATCTCATGAGCAAAGAGAGAAATCAGATAAATTATACAACATACACCAATAATTACTCTTCAAGTCAGAGAGCTTTCACTTAGTTAAGAACATGCATTTTTTTCTTCTGTTACTAAGTAACATGCTTAAAATGTGAAAATGCTAGAAATCCTGGTGTATTCATTATCTTCTGACTATAGCCCTTCTACCAGGGAAGGGACACTGTCAGAGCCCAGGACAAAATACTAACCAAAAATTTCCTTTCTCTCTCTCCCTCCCTCCCTCCCTCTCTCCCTCCCTCCCTCCCTCCCTCCCTCCCTCTCTCTCTCTCTCTCTCTCTCTCTCTCTCTCTCTCTCTCTGTGTGTGTGTGTGTGTGTGTGTGAATGTGTTCCCAGGCACTGAGCTGCAGAGATTAAAAATGGCTAGTGATTACCTATACAACATTTCTACCAGCCACTGGGATAAACACCCCAAGGGAGCTGAGATTTGGATAATAAAATACCCAACTAGAATGTGATCTTGAAGGTTTTAACTCTGAGCTCACAGAAAAAAATCAGAGCAGCCAGAGTATGTGAAAAAAGTGCACACACAAAAGGTGTGTCATAATCCAGATATCTGCAGAGCCAGGATGGGCCTAGGGTGATGCCACCGTGTCTCCCAGGTGAGAGATGTACTTTTACACAAACACATTATACACCCCTCCAGGAGCTGGCTCTATAAAAGGCCCAGAAACAAAAACTTCAATTATCAAACAACCAGACAGGAAAATAAAATGCAAATGATCATTGACACCTAAATTTCAAATTTTATAGAATAAACAAACCCCACATAATAATTAGGACATAAGAGAAGATACTTGCTCTTTAACTAAAATTCAAATCTGAATATTGTGTAGTGTATATGTGTGTGTGTGTGTGTGTGTGTGTGTGTTAGTAATAAAAATCTTACATTGGGTAGTCTTGGTGAACATTGCCCATCAAGGAATTGATGATGAGCTGCCCCAAAGGGGTTCTTTGAGAGCATGAGCATCTGATAATCCAGAATCCTTCTAAATTAAGGTTCTTATGTATCCTAGATATCATAGAAAATGGTGTAGGTATTTCTAGCATATAGCTTGTTCCCCATAACGCTGGTGGAAATGACTATTTGAAACCAGGCAATTTGGTCCAGGGAAGAGTAAGGTGGGATTCTTTTCCTCAGTGCAGAATGGAAGGGCAAACACCCATTTTAATGACTGAACAAAGAAACAAAGGCCAGGGGGATGCATTCCTGCAGACCTTGTTTCATTTGGTATTTTCCTGTCATCCACTACCTGCATGTGCAACCTGGGTTTTCACTACAGACGTGATACCCTACAAAAGTCTGTTGTTCTCTCTTCCCTGGATGAGAGTGTTAAGCTTTGTTCCATAGCAAGGATAGTGGTGTTTGGATGAGGGTGAGGTCAGAATCAAAGGGAACAAAGAATAAAGATTCCAAGAAGCTGAGTAGTTTCTCTGATCAAACTGCCCAGGTTGATGAATTGAAAGAAATTTGGAGAGTCAATGGCAAAAGGTTCTTGCTAGTACTCAAGAAAAGAATTATTCTATAAAACATTTATATCTACCTGTCTGTCTGGTGTGTGTGTGTGTGTGCATGTGCATGTGTGTGTGTGTGTGATTAAGAGCATGAAGAGGTCAGAGGACAAGTTGAAAGAGTTAGTTCTCTCCTTTTACCTGTGAGTCCTGAGAATTGAACTCAAGTCATTATGCTTGGTTGACAAGTGCCTTTGCCCACTGGGCCATCTTGATGACTCAAGAACAACAACAGAAAATATCTGCAATATACAGACACTCCAATTTCAAACACATGTGAAATTCTACCCTTGTATCAATTAGGAAAGCTCAGATATATCAATAGCCTAGAAATATCAAATGCTTGAAGTAATAATACTTCTGACTATAGGATATAAAGAATCTCAAAGCTGGATCCTTTGTGTCACAGGGTCTATTCTTCAAGCTAAGTCTTCTAGTCAACCTTTTTCATAGACTCCTTGGTAATACTACCTCATTTCATGTAGAAGTTCTGGGTTGAGAAGGTGAGAAGATGAGAAGATAAAGCCAAGGAGAAAAACCTGTAGCAAGCAGAGTACTAACAGGTATCATACAAACTTACCCTGTAATCGGAACACATTAAGCATTTGGTTTAGAGAATTTTATTTTATTCTTTAAAATTTTTCTTTTAAAACTTGTAATTACATTATGTGTTGTGAGTGTTCATGTGTGTATTCATATGTCAAGGCATGTATGTGGAGCTCAGAGGACTAGGGGATGAACTCAGTGTGTCAAGCTTGGTAGCAAATACCTTATCTTCTGAATCACCTTGTCAGTCCTTTAGAACATTTTTGTGCCAATATTTAGAACACAGAAAAAAAAACTCACTAAAAACCGACAAAGAAAACTTTCCAGTGTGACACATGAAAAAGTGGTTGTTCAGAGGTGCACCAAGTTCCATAGTAAAGAATCCTCCACTGTGTAAGCAGTTCAGAAGAACAACTTCTGCAAAATATCCCATTCCCACAGATGCTTTTATATTTATTTCAGGCATCAGAGCCTAGAAGCACATATATTTATGGAAAGAGAAGGCTGAAAAAGACATCTTCCAACACCATGAAGCAAATGTCACCCATGGAACACTCTTCCCTAAGCAGTCTACACAAAACACTTCCCTTAAAATAAGAACCGGATGAGACAAACTGATCAGAAACCCATCTTAGCATGTGTCATTCCCTAAATGAAACAATGACACCATATGCCCTGGAATGATCTCCAGTGTTTTCTTCCCTGGCAGGTGGCTGGGTGGATGGTTCTGGAAGCCAGTTAAAAGAGCCATAGGAGGAATGCTGAAGCAAGCCCAATTTCTGAGACAGTTGTGCACGGTATTTATAGTATCATTGGTTTAATTGAGAAGTTTGGTACTAATGATGCCAACACAGCTGGCACATCTTCAATTTAAATAGACATGACTCGTTTGCAGACATAACTAGCATTTGTTTGCTCGACAATTCACAAGCATTCAGAGCATCTTGGACCCACATGAGGTATCTCAATGGCTGTATTAAGACCAAAATCCAGAATCTTATATAAGTGTACTTGGGCAAATATGTACTGATCACTTTTAAACCACTTTGGGTCAGATAATATTTCACATGCACACACACACAAATAAATGTGAAGGGTGTTCACCAGCTACAGCATAAAGCCCAAAAGTAAAGGTTAATTCAGAGTGTGTGTATAGAGACTAAAAAGAGGCTTCCTTCTGGTGCATCTCTTAAAATTTTCTTTATTACATTTAAGATTATAATTTAATTACATTTTCTCCTTGAAAAGCATGTTATATACCCTTTCCAACACTTTCAAATTCGTGCCTCCACTCTACTTTTGCTAATTGTTACTGTATGCTTATGTGCCTATGTCTATACATATGTATTCCTAACGATAACATATTCAATTCCTATAATGCGACCTGTCTGTGTGTTTTCAGGGCTGACTTTTTGAAACTGGAGAATCAATGGGAATGCTCTTCTCTGGAGTTGTTCTTAACGTGGATTCAGTACAGAAAAAGGAGGCACTGTGACGTGTCCTCAAAATGACTTTACTCTTCTTAATGCCCTGTGTTTGGAGTGTTGCATTAACATGAACGTGAAAGAAGTCCACCTATACTGTAACCATAATAAAGCATCACCCAAGTGTCTTTTACACATGCAAACAGTCATGTGTTTTGTTAGTATAACTAAGGACAGACATGAATAACATTTTTCTATCCAAAACTGTATTTATTTATTTTGTGTATGTACATGTGTGCTTCTGTGTGTACAGGTGCATGTGTTTGTGTCCATGAATGTATATGTGTGAACATGCATATGTATGCGGAGGCTAGACAAAAACCTCAAGTGTCTTTCTTCAAGCAGTATCACCTTGTTTTGTAAGACAGGTTCTCTCACTGGCTTGGAGTTGCCACATAGGCTAAGCTGGCTGGCTAGCAAGCCTCAGGGATCCTCCTGTGCTTCTTTCCAGTGTTGGCATTATAAGCATGGGCTACCACTTCTGATTCTTTTCCATAGGTAGTGAGGATTAAATACAGGTCTATGAATCTGCATCCCAATCACTTTACTGACTGATAACAAAAAATGAGAGGGTGTGGTATCATTTAGGCATGCAGCTGTAGAGTGCCAGCCAGTCACACAGTTTCTGAAAAACGATTTTGTGATTCTATGTCTTTTATCAGGGGTCTGGATGCATCATAGTCTGCTCTCATCACAAACCCAGAAATATTATCAATTTAGAAATAATAAATTTTAAATATTAACCTATAATGAGTATTTTGTATTCAAGAGTGAAACACTACAATTAAATTGGTTGTAATTCACATAGTTTTTCTTAATGAGATCAAGAATTCAAGTGTAAAACTTTAATATGGAAATACTGATGTCTCCAATCACAACTGTTGGTTAGCTACACATATAAACCTGGGAGATAAATCCTGGCATAACCTTCTCCAAAGTCAAGGTAGTAAATTTTCCAACTGCTTGCCAGAAGACGTATTAAATAAAATATACTTTTGGAACATTCTCTCTATATGGGGAAGAAAAAGTTTGAATATGCTGCTGGATGGTAGTATCCTCACCATTTTGGAGGATGAGGCAGGAAGATAGAGAGTTTGGGAGAGTAGCCTATGCTACTCAGCAAGTTTGAAGCTAGTTTTTATGCAGAATCAGAACTTGCCTCCAAAACCACCAAAATAAGACAGAACAAAATGAAAGAATTCAAATGTGAAGGGATGTGCTCCAGCAGACCTCAAGAGACACAGAGTCAGGCCTGAGATCAGTAACTTCTCAGCTATTGATCCCACAGAAACATCTAGAATAAGTGATCCTAACAACCACACTAGCCCCATTCACTCATAGCATTATGAATGATGTAAAATGACTTCGGATACTGCTTTATATATTGTAGCATGTCCATTTCACCCAGGAATGAGTATACCATATGAGAAGACAGCATGGGAGGAAATGTAACATGATGCACAATTTATGGGCAGCCTTGGCAGAAGTAACCCTGGCAAAGACGAAGGTGAACAATGGGAAATGAACAATGATGGGAATCAACTCTGATACCAATCTCACTGGAGAACCCCAGAAAGCGCACAGGAAAACACAAGACACCTATGAGAACCATTAGGCAAGTGACTGCTGTGGAAAACACGGGGGAGAGTTTCTGCACTTGGACAAGTTGGACACTGCCAAGTTCTAGGCAATTGGAAAGAGGGTACTTTGTGTCTTGTTATGTTTTTGACATTGAAATTTCTGTGCTTCCTTTGAACAATAGAGTCAATGGGGACAGGAGGCACAATGATCTTTGCAGTTTTCTCTGTAACAATCCTCACTTCACCCTACCCTAGCAAGGAGACAGAAGACAAAAGATAGCATGAAAAAGAAAGACATTATCTCATGGCCAAAGCACTTGAGAGGAAGCTTACTGGGATTAAATCATGGTTACTTACAGTAACTAAGATTTGAAAGAGGAAACTATGTTGAGTCTCCTAAACTGCACCATGGGAAGCCAAGCAGAATGTTCCAGATGCCTCTCAGTATGACTCATGCTGCTAAATGTATCATATTATAGAACGGCTTTGTGACCACCCTTGTTCATCTTAGGAAAATTCCATTTCTTCAAAACAGCAGTTGTAAAATCCAAAGAGGACTCCCAAGTTATTGCAAGGGGTCCAGAATCCATATGGCCCAATGATTTTTATAGATGAAACCCAAACCACACAAAATCCACACATACTCTTTAACATAGACACAGATGTTGTTTGTGATAAGTAGAATTAATTTCAGTGTTCATAAATGTATACTGCACTCCGTTAACTGACAGATGCTAAGGGTATATCTATCATCATGTCGAATCAAGATCTTGTTAGCTAGCTGCTTGTGAATTTTGACTCAAAAGAAGAAGGGAAAAATATGTTTTTGAAACAAATAGATTTTGATCTGGGTCTAATATCAGGTAGCTTGTCACATGACAAGTTTTCCCTCACTCTGGGCCATCTGCCCTAACCCTAAAGGACAGAAAGATTCAGATATTAACACTTGCAGCATCTCCTCTGTATAACTTCCAGCTGTGAGTATTTTGATTACATCTCTGACATAGCCCTGTAGCCTCAGGTAAAGTTCAAGATAATCAAAAAAGTCCAGGGAAGAAAATAGACCCTTAAGGGTGAGAAACTGGGGTTGGCTGCCTTGCATGTCACCATGAAGGATTACGAGTGTGGTCATTAAGAGAATCCAGTTCAAAGCCAGCATCACAGTGACACTTGATGAATAAAGACAGACTGGATAGCAAGACATCCCTCTGGCTTGACATGGCAAAGAGAATATAAGTCCTGCAGCTACTCATCAGTCAAGCTGGGTCCCACTGCTTTGCACACACTTAACCTCGACTCTAACTTCGAATGCTCTGCACTTTTCAAAGTCATCTTTGACCTGAGAGTGCCCGAGGGTATCTTCGTTCTGCAAGAGTTAGAGGGCTTAACTCAAGGTTATTACCAAATGAGAGAGCGATAAAAGTGCAAAAGTTGACCTTTTCCTCTGAAATGTCAGGATTCAAGCCTGGGTCTCTTAAATATTAGGATGCCTGGTCTGCTTTTGTGTCACATGCATACTTGATAAGCATCACATTTTTGTGTGTGTGTGTGTGTGTGTGTGTGTGTGTTAAAGGTATAAGAAGGTTCAGGCTCATCACAGAGCCCCTGAGTCATCGACCAGGGCTTCCTGTTCATGTAGAAAATAATACGAGCTTTGCTCACAACGGGACATCTGATCTGGCCATTTCTTATTGTTTTTACATATTTGCAGCTCTCTACAAACTCGTAGAGGAGTCCCCAAAAAGTGCACCTTTGTTCTGAGTCAAATGTTAAGGATGTAGTTCTTTGGTCGAATGCACAGATACTTACGACCACTACTGGGATATCATGGATATACAGAGTGACTACAGTTCAAAACACAAAACGTTATCTGAGCCTTGTCAAAGCTTTGTCCTTTGGCACAGCTGAGACTAAATAAATGGTAAACTCTTCCCTTCCTGGGTAGATTGTTCAAACATCTTCCAGAAAAATATTCAGGGTCATGATGACCTGTGAGAAAGCAAAGCTGTCATTTATTTCCTCAGGGTGAATGGTGACTTCTGGCTAGCTCTGTTTCACCACAGTGCCTAGACCAGGCTGCCCTTTGCTGCATACTAAATACCCTTGAAGCTTCATCTAGGAAACTGTATGATGCAAGAATCAAATCAGATTTAGAAACTGGTAGTTTTGTTGGTGGTGGCGGTGGCTGATTTTGAAAACTAAGCTTTATGCTAAACTAGCCATTCACTGCAGCTGCATTACACAGTGCCTGAGAGACAAGTGGGAGAGAGTCACTCCTGGGCCAGTCTTCTAGGTAAGCAGGCAAAGGCTTCCACATTCATTTTAGTTATAAAGTGAGGTCCTGTGCTGCTGGATTTGGGATCACCAATGGACCCTATCATCAGTGGTTAATAGAGGAGTCTATTTTCTGCTTGACACTTAAGTTACTTATTTGAAGATGACCAACTGGCAAAGCAGAAACTGCATGAGCACAACTAAAACAAATAAATGCACCCTGCCACCCCTAAGGGGATCTACCCACTGTAGACCCAGGTATTAGATGCTAAAATGCCTTCATCCCATAAGAACATTCTACCTTAGAAAGATAAGGTCTCAGAACTCTCACAAGGAAGAAACCTGAGGACAAAGGTATTACTTACACCAAACATTTGTCGGAGGTCTGGATCCCGGAACCGGAAGGGGATGTTGGACACATGCAGCCGCTTGGGCTGGGACTTGTTTTCTGTGTTTTCAGAAGGTTGTGTCTGAGGCTGGCCGTCGGTCGGGGCTGCATCATCTGTCTGCTAAAGGAACAAGAAGAAAGGAAAGAGGTACTGAGTAAGCACTCGGTCCCAATGTCCTCTCCCTTCCCCAGTACGGCAGGATGAGGTCCATAAGCACTCGGTCCCAAATCCCGCCCTTCTCCTCTACATGGCAGGATGCTATGTGACAAACATTGTTGGTCTTTTATCATCATTATTATTATTAACAGCAAAAATGTTTGCTTTGTGCATCCACTGAGTGCCCACACATGAATCTTGGATTCCATATCAATCAAAACAGTCAAAAGTTCCTGGTCTCATGCAGTGTAACTCTCATAGATCTAGGCACAATAAAAACCATTCATAAATAGATATAGAAGAAGGCGATAAGCATCGTGGGAAAAAAGGAAGCATGAGGATTTGGGGGTTCAGAGTGGGTAGTGGATTAAAGATCATTAAAAATAAGAACATGTATCCCTCAGTGATCGTCAGATTGTTATGCTATGCATATATAAGAACTGAGGCTGTACAGGTAAAATATTAATAAATGTCAAAAATTTGCAAAGGCCCTTTGGTGGTTTGCAATTCATCCAGTGAATAAGATGATTGACTCAACTTTCTAAAAAAGATGTTAACTTAGCTTCTTCATTGTACAAACCTATATTGTCTACTGCTACATACCATATGAGATCATTCAAATTTCAAGAAATGTACACTAAATAAAGCACAAATGAGTTTGCATTTGTTGCATTTGAAATGCTTAATAACCACACATAAGTAATGCCTGTGTTGAAAAAAAAAAGGAAAACAGAATATTCCAAGCTCTACAAAAGCTCTGCTGGGTTATGCTTATGCAGATAATAGAAGAATACTAGCATAGCCCATTATTCCTTCTGTTCCCCTTCACTCAGAAAGGATAGTTAGGGAACCTTTTTCTGTACTTTCTCTGCAATTAACATATTCTGCCGGTAGGTGGCAGTAGACACAGTCCGCTTAAGTATGTCTTTGAAACTACCGTTGTAGGGTCTTTGCCAAAGCTGAAATTCGTGACCAAAGAATCATCCTCATCTATTTATAAGCAATTTAGAGGCATATAACTAGGATAAAAACTATCAGTGCAGGCAGCCAGGTGTAAAATAATAGAGATTTAGAGGAGACAATCTTACATAGTGAAATGTAAAAGAAACACCCAAATAATGGGAACATAATTAGCAATCTTCTCAGCATCTCCTATGTACTAGAATATTATTGGCATCTTCCTTCCTCAGACACTCTGAATTACATGTTTAAGTTAAGACCTCCTAGTGCTTTGTGCACCACCTACCTAAACCGGTTTGGTCTCAGAAACTCTACCAGATGCCTTTGTCAATTTCAAGTACAAGGCAACAGCCACATTATTTTGCCTGAAATGTGAAGAGGAAGATGATGTAGGACAGAGTAGGAGAAGAAAACCATTTATAATGCAGGCAATTCTTTGTGGGGGTTCAGGCTGAGTAAGCTCGAGTAGTACTTGCTACTGGGGGACCCAAGGCAAATCAGCTCTGACTTAGTAGAGAGGTGTATTAGGAGAGGTGGTGGGGACAAATCCTGTGCCAGGAGAGTGTGAGATAGAAAGATGTAAGCAGAAGTCTCCACACTGGGGAGACCATGTAGAGCCAGACAGAATACAAGGAGGATGAACAAGAGAGGCAACCTGAGAGGTGGAAAGAAGTTGTAGACCTAAAGGATCCTTGTATACAAAAAACAAGTGGCTGTTAGAAGCCACTTAAAGATGACAAGCAGACTGAATTGTGACCAGCAGGCTACGCGGATGTTAAATGCCTGCTGAGTGATTGGCTGATGCGGTGACAGACTGAGAGCATGAAAGATTGGTGCACCACTAATAAGTGAATAATAAATAAATGAGTGAGCATCACAGTTGTCAGCTTCAAGTGCCAGTTAATGAACAGCTATGTAGGCTGGCAGAGGTCCACTTGGTGAAGTGCTTGCTGTACAATCATGAGGGCTTGAGTGTGTGGCCCCAGAACCTGCATAAAACTGGGCACGGTGGTTCACACCTGTAATCTCAGCATTCCTACAGTGAAATAGGCAGTGGATACAGGACGGTTTCTAAAAGTGTACGGGCAGCTGGTCTTGCATATACAACAATAAGGAAAGACTCTCTCAAACAAGAGATGAAACTGACACTTGAAGCTGCCCACAGGCACATCATGGCATCATACTTAAATACACATACACACCATCATTCTGTAACCCAGATTCGGTAACACAGAGTAGTCACTGTGTTTTGCTTTTGTTTTTTGCTTTTCCTAGTAACAGCACATCAGGTTCCATATCAATGACAAAGAAATCACCGTTAAACCATGATATTGCTACCTTGCCGAAGAGTAAGAGGTTTCAATGCCCTACCACAAGATCCCAAGTTGGCATGGTCCCAGGTTTCCAGTCCATTCTCCCCACCCTATTGGAAATTTCTCTGAGAATAAAGAATTAAAATGAGTTTCTCTTCCTCCCAAGAAAGGGACTTAGACTTGGATTTGTGCACAACTGCTGAATGGCTCAGTTTAATAAACCTAATTAGGAATTACAGAGATTATGATTAAACATATTAAATGATTAATAGCATTATGCTGCTCATGTAAAAATTAAAATTAATCATCTCTAGTCAAACAGGACTTTGGAGAAATCTTTGTGGTGTTTTCTTTGATAAAAACATACAGCGCTCGATTAATCATTTTGTAGTGTACACATTTACACAAAAAGCCATAAATTGTTATGTAGGCATACCTATGGCAGAAATAATTTTTTACTGAAAATATGTAAAATGAAACCCAAATTTGTAAGGTGAGGAGGAGTGAATAGGGCTGTCAGCCTTATGGGGTGAGAGAGAAAAGCAAAGGAGGCCATTTTGAGCTGAGCATGCTCCTGTTCATGGTGACGAGTTATGTGTCAGCCAGGGCTATAGAGTCGCCTACTGTAGTATGCAAGTCCACTGTCACCAACTGCTAATTTGAATCACAGCCCTTTATATTTCTGTGCCTACAGTTTGCTTATCTGTGAGAAGACAATAACAGTCCATGACCTATAGGCTTAGGACAAGGACAAGAATATGGGAATAGGTAGAAGTGGCCATAACTTCAGTTCAAGGAACAGCCACCATATATACTGAAGAGAGTACTTGCTACCTCATTTGGGGCCTAAGTGGACTTTTTCTTTTTCTTTGGGAATCTTCAGGGAAAACATCCTGGGAACAAACCTGTGCTTTTATATGATTCCTAGGGTTCAGATCCAATATGTTGCCTACATGTGTTAGCTACCATCTTGCTAAGTGACCCTTGTCTGTTTGGGAATGGGTAGTACCTGGAAAGGTGATGCACCATGGAAGGAAGTGAGGTCACTGGGGATACTAGACCTTAACCTGTTCTTCCAGTTCTTTATACTGCTACCACCGAGCAGACGGCCCTTCGCTGCATATCTCCATAGTATACTGTGCTTCAATAACCTTAGGCCAAAAGCTTTGAAACCACCAGCAAAATAGCCCTCCCTGGATTGTAACATGGTGTTCTGTGACAAACAACGTGATCTCTGGCTTTGCCCCTGATTAGATTATTGCAATCAGGTGTACTGGCTTAAAACAACAGTATTTTCTCATACCATAGTAATGAGGACAAAAATCTAAAACAGAGGTGTCCAGAGAGCCAAGTTTCTTCTTTCTTTGCCTTTTCCAGCTTCAATTCCTGGGCATCCCTTGGTTTGGGGCTTTGTGATGCCCATGTGATTCTGTCTTCTTATGGCCATCCTCCCTGGGTGGCTCCCTCAAGTCTCCTCCAGCTTCCTCTTCTTATGAAGGCCCTAGCCATTAGATTTAAAGCCCTTTTTAAATAAGGATATTTTGGGATAATTAATTTTGTTAAATCTGTAAAGATCCCTTTTCCCAAACATAGTCTCAACCATTCACAGTTGGCATCGCTTATGCTATGGAAGTGTTTTTAGATGGTTCCACTCAACCTATGACAGTTCCCTCGTAAACATGAAACCAGAAGTGCAGATTCAATTAGTGACTATTTTCCAGAAATGACTATGCTATTCTTTAATATCAACTCTGGGCTCTTGAATACTCTCAAAAGAGCTAGCCTCCAATAGGGGGTGAAAGAAAGGAGAAGGTTCCAACTTAAGCAGAGAAGAGACAGAAACTGTTCCTTTATCAGGCCAGATTGGCCACCTCCCCTCATGTACTTGGTTATAGATAGAGATTCTTGACCCCCCTCTGCCAGAGTGGGAAGCCCTTTGTCAGTTTCTAGAAAGATCATCAATATCCTATACTTATGTCTGAAAATGGAAAAAGTAATCATTATTTATCTTGTGTAGATAATATTTCAGAATGGGACAATAATGATAAAGCCCTACTTAGTAAGAGAGGACATTACATTAATCATGATGGTCATCAACAAAACATTTCAGTTTTGTCCTCTGTTTCTCTGGCCCACAGACATACAGAGCTATGATAAACAGCCTTCTAATCACACAGGAAGACTTACAGACCCTGTGAATTGGAGATCCATTAACCATAAGAAGCAAATCTCTAAGAGTCCCTTGTCAGAAGTTCTGAGCAAGTACATTAAGAACCACCTCACCAGGTTCTGTGTTGGCCTTCTGTGGCATAACCCTATCAGGAGGCAGGCTGTTGGCTGAAGAATTTTCCTTAATAAATAAACTCCCTAGGTATTGGCACAGGTTATAAATGTTAAGAAAACACCAGCGGCACTTTAATCTCCTGAAGATCACTTAGTGTTTCCACAAAGACCTTAATAAAGAACCGCGGGGCTCCCTCCGCTGTAATCGTTCCTAATTCAATGAATAGCTCTGAGCAACCCACAGCTAATCCTAGTGAAATTGGATTTTGATATCGACCAATCCAGGGATGACTGTTTGAGAGAATATCCATAGAAATCAGCTCCTTTCAGATTCTGGCCCTGCCCCAGTGTTATCTTAGTAGGTTACTTAGACATTGTAGAGTCAACATTCCTGGTACCTTTTAACAG